AGAGGTGACTGTTCATCGCATATCATACATTGAGCGTCTTTGCCCAAGTAAAAATCTTTCCACGAACATCTTGGGCACTTCATTAGGTATACAATGTGACCAGTCTCTTCTCCACAATGGTTACAAGCTAGTTTCTCGGGCTCACCATCATCCTCATTATCATCATCCTCATTATCATCATATTCGCTTTCATTATCACCTTTGTCAGATTCCCTGTTCTCTTCACCAGATTCGCTTTCAACATCACTCTCAGATTGTGGCATTTCATGTTCCTCCTTTGCCATTTTTGACAATAAATACTCATTTTTAATCAAATCTTTATTAACCCCTGCTTCTACTAGGCCTTTTGTAAACAGGTCGAGCCCTCGTGGTTCAGGAATGTGAGAGTTGTATGGTAAAAGTGCGTATTGTAAAAGGTTATCGATGTTAGTACCAGGAATGTCTCTTCCATGATAAACAATCTCACCCTGAGGATTCCAAGTTAAAATATCACTTGATATAAGAATAGAATGTAGCATTTTTTCTGCTGTAGTTTTTTTGACATTATTGTTCAGATACAAAAGTATATCTTCAATGCGCCAATGTCGCGGAGATGTTTTACTCTCGATGTTCATTGTTGAAATGATGTATAAATTGTAATCACAGGGCTTTTATACAAGTTCAGCCAGGCTTTCCAAAATAGGACTTAGTAATAGTCCAAGGAAACCTTCACCACGTTGAACGAGTATCCGTTTTTTTCTTCTTCCACATTTTCCTCTATCTGCCAACCTAAGCATTTCATTTTTGTAAGGTCGGAGTTTCTTCATCACATGCTTCAGCATTAAATATTTTCTTTTCATAACGTTTTCTACACAGAGACACAGGCAGTGTACTTGTTCGGCGGTTGCTGTTTCCAGTAGTGCTTGTTGTTGATCAGGCTCGGACGTGCCCAACAATTCAAGATATGGCTTGTGCCTTAGAAGATTGATCATTTCTGTTCGACGGTTTGGAAGCAAATGAGTAAAACACAACAATAAGGAAGCTTATATCGGAAGAGAGAAAGCAATTTATACACGGCTCCGAGTTATCGAGAGTTCGATTCTGAGCTTATCGAACTTGGCTCCTTGTGCATGTCAGATAAGGAAGATAAGAGGATAAATATAAGGAAGATAAGGATAAAGATAAGAGGATAAATATAAGGAAGATAAGGATAAGGAAGATAAGAAGATAAAGACAAGAAGATAAAGATAAGGATAAAGATAAAGAAGATAAAGATAAGGATAAAGACGATAAAGATAAGGATAAAGATAAAAAGATAAAGATAAGGATAAAGATAAGAAGATAAAGATAAGGATAAAGATAAAGATAAGGATAAGGGACATAAAGATTGAGATAAGGATAAAGATAAGGAAGATAAGGATAAAGATAAGGATAAGGATAAGAGGATAAAGATAAAGATAAGGAAGATAAAGATAAAGATAAGGAACATAAAGATTAAGATAAGGATGAAGATAAGGAAGATAAAGATAAGGATAAAGATAAGGATAAAGATAAGCGCATAAAGATAAAGATAAGGAAGATAAAGATAAGGATAAGGAACATAAAGATTAAGATAAAGATAAAGATAAGGAAGATAAAGATAAGGATAAAGATAAGGAAGATTAAGATTAGGATAAAGATAAAGAAGATAAAGATAAGGATGATAAAGATAAGGATAAAGATAAGATAAGAAGATAAAGATAAAGATGAGGAAGATAAAGATAAGGATAAAGATAAGGATAAGGATAAAGATACGGAAGATAAAGATTAAGATAAAGATTAAGATAAAGATAAGGAAGATAAAGATAAGGATAAAGATAAGGATAAGGATAAAGATAAAGAAGACAAAGATAAGGATGATAAAGATAAGGATAAAGATAAGATAAGAAGATAAAGATAAAGATGAGGAAGATAAAGATAAGGATAAAGATAAGGATAAGGATAAAGATTAAGATAAAGATAAGGAAGATAAAGATAAGAGGATAAAGATAAGGATAAGAATAAAGATAAAGAAGATAAAGATAAGGAAGATAAAGATAAGGATAAAGAGGATAAAGATGATAAAGATAAGGATAAAGATAAGAATAAAGATAAAGAAGACAAAGATAAGGATAAAGAAGATAAAGATAAGGAAGATAAAGATAAGGATAAAGATAAGGAAGATAAAGATAAGAATAAAGATAAAGAAGACAAAGATAAGGATAAAGAAGATAAAGATAAGGAAGATAAAGATAAGGATAAAGATAAGGAAGATAAAGAATAAGGATAAAGATAAAGAAGATAAAGATAAAGAATATAAAGATAAAGATAAGGATAAAGATAAGGAAGATAAAGATACAGAATAATACTGGATAGATGCATTAATGAATATATAGAACGAATACGCCAACTTATTATCACTTCCAGCTAGACGTTCGTGGTGTGAACATGTCCTTCCCGTGCAATATATGTGCCAAAGTATTTTCAACAAGCGGCAACCTCAAGCGTCATACTTTGAATACCCATGGAGATGTTCAAAGCAAACCAGTTGAAATCTCAGCAGGATCTACAGTTTTGCAGCATCCTTTCACATGTATCCTAGCTGGGCGTACCCAAAGCGGCAAGACTGTGTGGGTAAAATCTCTCTTGGAGAATGCACAGAAAACTATAAGTCCTGCTCCTCAACGTATCATTTGGTGTTATGGTCAATGGCAACCCTCCTATTTTGATATGATGAGAACGATGCCTGGAATCGA